GATGAACTAAAACAGGATGTGTCGGTAGTGAAGTTTACCAAAAAATAAATTGTCTTTTATATTTTATGATTTTTATTTTGAAAGCTGAAAGGTATTGTGCATTTAAATAGCTTCCTCACGAAGCGTCAGTAACAAGATTAACAAATTGAAATAAAGATGTCAATGTATTATTCTCAAAATTCCCTTTTAGTAATGGTTTGTCTTACAGCATAGAAGGATTTAATAACAGTTTATAAGCATTATAAACTACAGTTTGCATGACTATCTCTTCTATGATCTGTTTCAGTTTGTACTACAGATGAAGAACTGACAAAAGACGTTTTCTGCTTGTATAATTTTCTTTAGTTCATGCTTGACCTTTCTTTCGCACCCTTTTATCATTGGTGGCCAAAAATGTCCGAATTTGAATTACATGAATTTCATGCACTGTTTCAAATTAAACACTTTTTGTTTTCGTTGTTCAATCATGATAGTTTGTTGACAAACCTGTTAGCATTCATTGATAGACGAAATCGGTCCTTTAGCATGAAAAGATGGTCTTTAAGCGTTTGCTGCTTTTACTAACCGTTTTACCGTTTATAAAGGCTCAGGGTAAGTTGCATTCTGTAAGTGCTTTGTCGTATGTTTTGAGATGACAACCAGAGAGAGTCAAATCAAGTACATGCTAGTTTCTAAATTTGCGACTTCTTTCACGATAACGATATTTTTCCAGTTTAAATGAATCAGTCACAAAATTACCAGCTGAATTATAGGGTAAAGTTATTTGATTTGCTTCGAGCGCTGCAAAGATTAACAGTTTTTTTAAAAAACTTCCGGGGTCCATAGGAATGTTTCGTCCATGAGAGAACCCGTATGTTGCATTTTTTCCTACGCAGTTACGTAGTTATGTAGGTCTGCAATTTCGGACAAATTTCAGCATTGTTTGCAATCATCGAACAATACTAGCGTTCATTTAAATCCTCTCAAAGCGCTTCTTACCACTAATGTTAGTGTCAGTTAGGTACTGGTCGCACGTGAGGGGCCAAATATGACCGCACTACATCAGCTGTTTTATTTACCATGAAAGTACATTTAAAGGCGTCAACAATGAATATTTACTAAGTGGAGAGATTATCGTTTAAATAACTTTGCTCACCGTTTCCGGTTGAGCTTCAAGCTTTTGAAAACTCTCAGATCTAAGGGGGTGGGGTAAAACTGTTAACTTCTGGTTTGTCCATTTGAGTTTCAAATCCATTTCTTACGCGCAAATGAAATTTAAACAGATTACGTCAGGGGCACCCAACGTCAATTTTCGGAAAATATCTGTTCGGAAGACGATTTGAGATCTAGAATTGTCGGAACAATTGTTGCAAAATTTGTTGCTTGCCTGCCTCTCCTAGGATTTTCGAACATCTAAAATATGGTATAATTGCCCATTTTTAAGGGATTTTTACCCTAAAAAGGTCACCTAGAATTTTCGGGAGCCTTTTTTCTGGCTGAGATTTTCGAAAAGGTAAGTTTTGATCGCTGTAATTTTCGGATCACTAGACTTTCAGCTAGGAAATCCGAACAGATGAAAAATTTTTAGGGAATAAAAATATGCCTATATCTACCATTTAAATACTAAAATATGTTCAACAATGCTATGTTTAAGTGGTTAGCTCTATAATGCAACGTTTCCCTCTCCTTCCCAGTGCATTTCTTTCTTTGTGATCAGTATATGATCAAGCACTGCTACTACGATAGAAGAACTGAGATTTGATGATGATAACTAGGCACTTGAGACACAGGTCCATATCGTGTCCGACGTAGAAACCTCGAGGAATATTTTTCGTCACGTTGTCGGAAGGTATTCACGTACGTTTGAGCTACCGGCTAGCTTGAGTATCATTTCGTAACACTTCACTTGCCGCCTACAAGAAAATTCTTCCATTCTTTTCTTTAGTTATACGTCTATTAAAACTTCTAGCTAGCTACAAGCCCAACACTTCTGTGTTTTTATGAAGGAAACAAAGTATTAGCACTGCGGGTCTCACAATGAGTGTTAAAAGACTACTATTGTTGTTAATTGCTGTTCCGTATTCTCAAGAGGCTAAGTGGAGCTCAGCTAACTCTGTGTATAATATGCTGAAGTGATGAATTTTTCTGATACAGGTTGCGTTTTTGTCGAGACTTGGAGAATTCCAGTTTGAAAATTTAAGTTTTGGTATATAAGTGTATTCTGGTAGAATTTTAGAACTTTGCATGTACCACTATAGAAAGAAGCAATTGTGTGGTCCCCCACTGCCCAATGATTTCATCTTTTTCATTTCTGTGATCTTTTCAGTCATTTAATTGTTCACAACTGCAGTTGGTTAAGAGGTAAATCTAACTGCTTGTTATGTTCTGGCGGCTTTGTTCAGTTGCCAGTAATATACACCTGATTGTAAAAACGTTGCCGCTTGAAAAGTATAAACCATGAAAGATGGGTCCTAATGGATTTATGGGTAGAACTTTGTTAGAATTGCAAATTTAAATTTCTTTCCAGAAAAGTTTACATTAACGAAGCTTTTCGCGACAATGCATTCCAAAAAAGGTGCACGGCTCGTCAGAGATCTGTACAGTTACAGAGCGTAGCCATATCGTAATCATATCGCGGTTTCCAGTTTTCTTGGCGATAAGCTCACAACTTCATTTGTGCACGGCTCATTAGAGATCTCTACAGTTAAAGGGCGTAGCCATATCGCTAACGTACACTTGAAAATTATATAAAGAAGAAAGACAACGGCATGCCTTAAACAAAGTACTCTAGGGATTTGCATCCGCACGAGCAGCTCGTGACCGTGTAAACTTTTGTTGAAAGAACTTTAAATTTGCTTTGCTAATGAACGTATACCCACACACTTAAAATTAAAGTGTAACATTACTCCAAAAAAAAGTGTAAAATCTTTGCCAGCCCCGGCAGCCTTTTTTTTCTGTGTATTATTACACATCTTATAATAGTGTAATTTAACACACAACTAGAGGTTATATTTACACACCAATCAGTGTAATGTGAGTGGTTTACACTTTGGTCAAGTGTAAAATTGGCAGGGTGGTACCCGGCAAAGATAGTTAGCAGGACGTCTCCCTGTCCAATTATTAGTATTTTCCAGTCATGGTGTAATGCCTTTCCCACAGTAAAAATGGATGGCGGTGCATCTTTTTTGCTTCTTTTAGATATTGTCCTCTTGTGGCTGCAACCTACGTGACAAATGAATTGAAAAAAAAAAAACAAGACTTGTTTTAGTCGATATTAAAGTGTTCTTAATTTATCGTATCGGTCATGAGGGTTGAAAATAGGACCGAGTGTTTTAGAGTTCCTTCTAATTGAACTAACACAATAATGCTCTCTTGACCAACATGGCTAAGGTAAACTACTTAAATTAAATTTCATTTACAAAATAATCACATATTAGGTTTAAGATATAAAAAAGGTTTTTTCTCTAGAGTCTTAAAAATCAAGTACATTTTTGCTCCTCTACAAAACAAAACACAGCTTCAGATATTCAATTCAGATATCAAATCACAAATTAAAATAACTCAAAACATGTGCTATTCCAATCCATGACCCCCAGTAACACTATAGGCGGGCCAAACCACCTGACTGAGTCATTAGTCAAAGGCGGGCATGAAAATTACCACCTTGCATAAATGCCTGGCCGGAGGACCAGGGCCATGATGAAAACAAAAGACACTATAAGACTTTATAACTTGGTATCGAAACGAAAGCTTCACTGGTATACAATTCAGATATCCGATCACAAAATTACTCAAAAAACATGTTTTATTCCAATCCATGACCCCCAGTAACAGGCGGGCAAAACCACCTGACTGAGTCATTAGTCAAAGGCGGGTATAACCACCTTACATAACTGCCTGGCCGAAGGACCAGGGCCATAATCAAAACAAAACACACTATAAGATTTTATAACTTGGTATCAAAACAAAAGCTTCACTATACAATTCAGATATCCGATCACAAAATTACTCAAAAATCATGTTTTCGTCCAATCCATGACCCCCAGTAACAGGCGGGGAAAACCACCTGTCTGAGTCGTTAGTCAAAGGCGGGCATAACCACCTTACATAACTGCCTGGCCGGTGGACCAGGGCCAGGATGAAAACAAAACACAGTTATACGACTTTATAACTTGGTATTGAAACGAAAGCTTCAGATTCAATTCAGATATCTGATCACAAAATTACTCGAAAAACATGTTTTATTCCAATCCATGAGTCCCCTGGAAACAAGCGGGCAAAACCACCTGACTGAGTCGTTAGTCAAAGGCTGGCATGACCACCTCACATAACCACCTGGCCGGTGGACCAGGAGCATGATGAAAACAAAACACAGGTAAAGTAATGAAAATGATATTAAGCCTTTTTAAGCAATTTCACGTTTTTGTATGCGAAATCACATATAAAAATTGGGCAAGCTTAATATATTTTTCTGGTTTGGATTTATCTCTATTCTATATATCAAATACAAGTCGATGTACAGGTCCGGTACGAATAGCAACTAGGTATAATGTAAGAAAAACAAATAAAGATAACTTACATTATATCAACATTTGGGATCAAAAGGTGCAAAATTCTGTGTTTTATGAAGCATTTCTACCGATCATTTGAATAGTAAATGTATGGAATCAAATGTCGCGCGTGACATCACGATCCCTCGAACAGTTCGGGTGGTACGCTTGTAATACACTTCTTTTGTTTGCAAAGAGCAAAACCACTCGAATTAAAAGTAATTATATTCGCTATAAATATTTAAGCTTCAATTTGTGTCTGCAAAAACAACAAGGTGATACAATGCAGTCTTCGCTGTTGACGTCATGTCACGCGACCTTTTGGCGGTTTAAAGCAAACGAACAACTAACGGCAATATTCACAAAACATTTCAGTCAGCTTATATCCAGTATTTATATTTCTAATGTTAGTCGTATATATCTGTCTCCTCTCAGGCTATTCTCCTAACAAGCCTAAACAAAAATTTGAGGCGACATAGCGAGGTTATCTTAATTTCGAGATTTCAAAGCTAAACACCAAACAATGCGCTTTTGATATCGCATAGCGCTCTAGACGCTTAGAATTCTTAATTGAACTTATTCTCCCACAGTAGGAAAACCGCTCAAGGTGTTGCAGTACGGTAAAACAATACTTCAAAAGCCTCAAGAAATCTAGGGCCAGACTATAGTTTTAACATAAAACTCAGAAATTACGGAAAGTATACTCACCTCGAAATGCGAAATACGCCGTCGTAATCTTTGAACATGTTTGAATGCATGGTTTTTGCTCTCTTCTTAGCAGTCATTTGGAGCCTCCAGCATCCTTTGCTCTAACAATCGGCCCTACATCCTTGTTAACTTGAAATCAATGAAGACTTTGAGTTAAAATCTTCAAATTTATGGCGCTTAATTTTAGTACAACCTTCGTGGAGGACAAAGCCATAAATAAGGGCTATTCCATGTATAAACCTCATAAAACCTTTTTATTTTGATCAAAATGAAATAAAACGCGTTTAAAATATCAGACGCTCGTGTTACCCATACCCCTACCGACCTACCTAATGTACTTCAAGTTTATGCTTTCAAAATATGGACGAACGTCTTGCAGGAAGAATCGTCCTAAACATCATTCGTCTTGTTGGTTTTCTCACTTTCTGCTGTTGGTATTCCATTCTCCCGTTATTAGTGCAGGTAATAACTCTTTCCGATTTTGAAACCAAACGTTTTTACTACTTGTGGTGAAGCCCCTTTGTTCTAAGGTTGTGAACACGTCTCTAACGCTATGGCTTTGACTTACAGCCGATCTACACTGCTTTCCCTCAGATTCTGGTGGAAAAATCCGACACAACTCATCAAACCTTTGCGGCATTCAGAGTGGAATTTTTATATATTTGGATCAAAATTTAAAATACATTAAAAATTATTTTTTAATAGTGTTTTAAACAGGTTAAAACACCTTTAAAGTCAGTCGAAAAATATATTAAAAATACACTTTTCACCCTATTTAAAACCTATTTCACAAAACAGGTTAAAAACAGTTTTCAAAAATAGTTTATAAATATATTTAAAACAGTGTTGGATTTGGTAAGGGAAGGCAGTTCAATTTTTTCCCCTTAACTACAGCAGAAACATGTCGCTTAAACAGAATCAAATCTTACATGCTTTCGCAAATGGGGTTGAATAAAGTAACTCTCTTATGAATACTGCCATGATGTGCTCATTTGCTTCATGTCGCGAGAATTCTTGATGTGTTCTTTGAAGTGGGTTGGGGCCGAAGTCTCGGGACCTTTCCTTTCAATCACGATGGGAGGGCAAAAGGGCTTTCGACTCAAATACGATAAAAAGTTCAAGAACATCAAAGATGAGCTCATAAGCATTTTATTGGCTATCATACTGCAGTAGCATAAGTACATTTTGCTTTATTGAGAATGACTGAACTTTTGTGTAATCACACACTTTATCTGTAGTAGCTGAGAAATAGCTAGTACCATTTTCAGTTTTTCTTCGGAATCTTCTCGCAATAATAACCATGTAAGGCGGATTTGGACCCTTTGGGGCACTTAGCACAAACACCCGAGTCTCCCGACCAGAAATGACCATCAGGACAATTAGTCGGACCATGATACTTCGTCTTCTTCCTCTTTGTTAGAATTAATTTCTTCTTCCTTTTAAACTTGTTCTTCTTCCCCTTGTCTTTGCTTGGTCGTTCCATGAAGCAGAGCTTTGTGTCAACTTTCAGCTTAAAGTTAGAAGCAGGTTCTGGAACTTGTACTGATTCGTATCCAGATATGGAAACTTGCCATTTGGAGTATACTGAAGGGAACAATGGCGTCCTCTCTAAAAGCTCTTGGCAGCTGTTCTGATCTTCATTTAAAGGGCAAATTTTTGGCAAAGAAGACCCATATGGGTTTGTTAATTTATCGCTATCCCGTCTGCATACAGCACTGTGACCCTCACGATAATCAAAAATGAACTTTTTCTCGGGAACTCGCACGATAACATACCGTGTTCCATCTGGTGGGGAATGTTGATTTTCTCCACTTACTTTAGCTTCCACTCGTACTTCCCTTTCTGTTGGGCTAACAGTTGGAAGAAAAACAACGAACTGCTTCACAAATATCGCTGCATTTTGGTCGCCTGAGTTGATCCATCGATTGTCAACCAACCACTGACTGTCTGGTATCTGGAAAGTAACGGGCTTGCCAGCATACAAATCGCCGAGACTCATAAACGCCAGGTTGCCATTAGAAGCGATTGGAACTTCTCTGTAATCGTGTACTTCTCTGCAAGGTGGAATAACGAAAGAAGCGAGACTTGCAATTTCAGTGTTAACCCCGTTGCAAACACTAGGTCGTGTTCCTCCTCTTTGGTACTCCAGTATGTTACAATAGTCTTCCACAATCCTCCAGATGTTGATTTTGTACGAAATGTAGGAGACTATAGTGAGTGTCTTGAGATCGTTAACAACGTTTGCATCAACCTCAGCTTCGCTGGTAAGGGCATCGTAATCACCAGTGATGCTCGAGGCAGCATCTAGGGAGACCGCTGCTCTCATGGAGGTTGCCATGGATTCAATAAGCTCAAACTGAAAGTCATATATCTCCTCATAAGTGGCGATCATTTCTTGTGCTTTTGCCTTTGCTTTGGGACATAAACCTTGGCCTCTAACTATTGCTTTAGGACCTGCGCAAAGATTAGTTGTGCATTCTAATATGACCTGACAGGTCCCTTCAATCATTTCTTCCCATTTTCCTGTCATGGCTGACAATTCGGGTTTCTCAACTTGTGGGTCATAAGCCTTGTAATCATCAAGAAACTTTTGTTTTATCGATGCAAAGTCATCTGCTGAAGTACCCTTTTGGATGCCATCAAGGATTATTCGCACGTCTTCAAGAAATTGGGCGTTATTATTCAATCTTCTTCGAATGTCCTTTGCATCATTAACGAGCTCGTTAAAGACCCTCTCTCTCCTTATCATCTCCCCAACCAGGGTTAAGGTGTCGGCTAGTTTTGCCTGTCGATCGATATAATCTCCAGCACTGGAACCACCAAAAAGCTTTTCAAGGGGATTCATAACAACAGCAGCTGCCAGTACACACTGTGCTGCATCCTCTGCAAGTTCAAGCGAAACGGCTGCTATTGCATAATCGATAAGTTTTCCAACTTGATTCCCCAACTCAGTGCTCAGAGTCTCAATATTGGATTTGTACTTGTTTAACCTTCCGTTGATAAACTCGACATCAGCATTTGCCTTTTCGCGGTTGAAGGTTTCAACTTTAGTGAAATACGTTCGAAGGCCATTAAACCGTTCGTTAACTGTTTTAGACACCTCACTTGTCACCAACTGGCTAAGCTCTTGCAATGCAGTTTCTTGATTTTCAACGACTTGAAGAATCCTATCCATTTCGGTCAGTGCTAGGAAGCTTTTATAATCGATGTTAGTGTTGAGCATCTTGATAACCTTGCCACTTGCTGGAGAGAGCCGTGATTTTCTAAAGGCTTCTAGCTGGACGATGGCTTTCCAAAACATACATTCACTCTTCTTCACGTTACTTGGAAGGGCCCACGCTGTTTCGCAACCTGATTTGATTGTTGTTAAATCTGGTACCAACGGGATCCACTCATCAGTCAAATCATCTATTTGCCCGTTATTAATGTACTCAAAAATCTTCTCTAAGTTATTGACAATAAGTTCGCTAACTTGCTCGGTAGTTGTTGGGTAAACCGTTTCGAATTCTTCTGGATAAATGTGCTTTAACATCAAAAAGTGCAATCGATAAGCACTCCATTTGAAACTCCTCTCGAATTCCCATTTAACCATTTCTAGGGTATTAACCAATTTCACAAGTTGAGGCAAAGCTGGACAAAATATTTGGTCTGCCAGAGGATTGTTTACACAGGATGCCTCTATTCCCTCTCTGAGAAACTGCCCATCCCGTCCGTACAAAACTTTAGCGTAAGGATTTTCGCCTCTTCTAACCTCTGACAGACCTGCGGCCAGCCTGGACTTTGCATCGTTACTTTCTTGATTGAGAACTGCCCCGCACCTGCTTCTCAGCAGAGGGTGCAAAAGCCATATATCAACATAGACGGCGCGAATGGTGTCTTCTCTGACGCGAATGAAAAAGGGGTTGGACATTGTGATTTTAAAAAACAGGGCGTAAGCACACTCTGGGTCAAAACGCTTCAAGGGGTCAGCACACCTTTCTTGAGCTACGGTCAAGGGATACTGGTTGGGAAGAATGCCTTGATCGACAAGCTGACAACGAATATTATCCAGAGCGCATACGGTTTCCCGATGCACTCCATTAGAGCGCAGCGAGTTAAAATTACGACAGAAGCTTTCAAAACTGCTCTCCAAGCTGGACAGGCGTTCACAGGTGTCTGGATGAGTTACTTCACAAGACGAAGATTGTCCTTGTACAAATCCCCAGAGAAGAACGAGTATAATCGCCTTCATAGCCATGGTCATACCTATAAACAAAGCATTCTGACATTTAAAAACCTCCCCCGTGTCTTATTCGATACTAAAAATAAATCCTTTTGTTTACTATAAAAAAAAAAAAAACAGCACAATTATCATCGTCCACTTTAAAATATTAAATTGAAACTCCTTTTTAAGCGATAAACAACTTGATACATGTAAGGTGGGTGGCTCCGGCCTCGTCAAAGTTGAGAGTCTACATAGGCGGCGGTGTGCTCGACGGTCTCTCGTATTCTTCGAAATCTTAGTCGTAAGGTAGAATGTCAGAGCTTATTTTCCAGCTGGCGTTAACTTTTAAACCTCTGAAAAAGCAAACTTAATTTCTTAGCTGACAGTTTAGGATTTTTACTGAACTATACGAGTACTCACGGTGTCTCCGTTGCTTTCACAGGTGTATTGAACTATGACAAGCTTTATGAAGTCATAGCTGGACCAAAAATATAAAATTAGAGTCGCTAGATCGTTCTTTATCGGAGCAATTCGTCCTCGAAATTCCAAAATAACTATCACAGATGAATTCTAAAGAACTTTCAAGTTACGAACTTCTGCCTCAACGATTTCTCTATATATTTGGCGTACTTATTATACATCAACAAAATTTCAATGCGATTTTAATGCTACTGCCTGCAAAAATCACCGAAAAAAAATATTATGGTTAAAGCGCCCTGGAGAAATTTGATTTATAGATTCGTTATTGTTACTCTACAGGAGCATTTTGTGTTTTGGGTAAAGGCATAAGTACTGAAACGACTTCAGCACAGAATTGTCCTAAAAGGGCAATACGTGAGTCACATATCCCCTTTAAGCGCTAATTTCACAAAGAAATGTTCATCACGTGTAACATCGAGATTTTTTTTTTTTTGGTAGTCTTTACACTAGGGCCTAAATAAGGTAAAAAATATTTCAAGACAAGTAAATTTTAATTTCTTCAAGTAAAAGAAAGCTTCACACACAACCTATCTTTTTTACTTCAGGTTTACTTAAGCCTATTTTCCCACTCAACATATATAATTAAGATTGATTGACATATTGCTTCGCCTTTCTCAAAGCTTAAAAACCGCAAGTTCGCTAAGTCGGTCTTATGGATGTTTTCAAGTCACTTGAAACTTTCTTGAATCGTTTCAACTTTCCGACTTTAATTAGATGCAAAGTAAAGTTACTTGAGGTTTTAGCTAGGCCTTCACACACGCATTTTTGGTTACGTAAACTTAGCAGCTCTTAAGTCTCTTACTTAAAGGAGCTGTGTCACGAAATTCAGCCAAATTAGGTATTACAAAATGCCCGTTAAATCCAAGAGAAACATAAAAATAACCGCTTAAAACATTAAAGGAAGGTTAAAAAAACACAACTACAGATACAACAGATGCCACGGATGGGCAAAACTGAAAAGGGTTGAAATTAGGGTTTTTGAAAACTGTTCAGCCTAACAGTTTTTCAAAGTTTATCTCTGTTTTTTGCAACTTCAAAAATAATACTCAGGAGACATATTTCTTTGTCTCGAATCTCTGACTTTGTCATTTACATGTAATTTCTTTGCTTACTTTAAGTTCCATAGCGATTGAGGGTGAGTAATTGGCAAAATTCAACAAAATCAACTGGACTGCCGTGACACAGCCCCTTTAACAGCATAGTATAAAGACAACCATTATTGCCCAATGTTAGCTGTAGTTCTTTCAACGTTTCGTAGCGATGGCGTGAAAACCGAAAACGTTATAAAGTTCATAGAGTTCATAATAGTTCAATGCACCTATATTTAAAACAAGGGAGCCACCTTAACTACGTGAGAACTTTTTAAAATTAAGTGTTGTCAATTGTTTTGGACATGCAGTCATTTTCCCACCACAAATCATCACAATAACCTAGATGAATAAAAAGTCGGCTAAATATCCGACTAACTTAAAGAAAATTGACAAAATTAGTTTGAGGGGAGCAAAACCACAGAAAATAAGCTATTCATTTACATCTTACTAAATCAAGCCAAAACCCTTTGCTAGACTGTGACTATGTTCAGCCTCAACAAATAGAAGAGAGTGACCTTAACCAAACATTAATGTATGCGCGAAAATTTTGCAAAATTGCTTCGCAAAGTAATAGATTCGTGATCTTGCCTTAACAATGAATTCTAACCAAAAATCTATGCGTAATTGGAATAAGAAAAAAAACTTCTTCGTGAATTTTAGGTTACTTACTTTGCTTGTGAAAACTTAAGTCATATCATTCAAACCAAATCCTTTAAGAGCCCGCTGGATTTAATGCGATTTCGCACTAGGTAGATCCGTCAGCTTACGAGTCAGTCTGAAGTCTTCTTCTAGCAGAAATTCGTCCTAATTGTTCTCTTTCTCTGTTATGGCCGGTATTCTAGTGTGTTACACGTAACCAATCAAGCAGGTGATTTGTTAACTTGTTGCCAATGACCAAGTCGTAGAACACAATCAGAATGCGTAATGACGACCCTGAATTAAGTTTTAAAAGACCGCTTTCGATTTATAGATAGGCAAGTTAAACACTATGCTACTTTTCTTTTTTTTTTTTAATTGTAAAAAGCAATTCATTATATTTATAAACTATGAGAATTTTAAGCTGACTATCCTCTCAAGAAACTGGTACGTGAATTGTTTCCACAGTTTCACTTTCACACTAGACAAGCATCGCAGTTTGAGCCCTTTCGATCTTCTTCAGGTGATATTAATATTAACATTTAGCGGAGAGGTTTTTCCGGTAAATAACTTTTGACACAAAAAAATACCTGTGTCAAAATAAAAAGAGGAATTATAATTGTCAGAAATCGGGAATTTTCTCAATGTGTTACTGATAGAATAAAATTTACGTTAAGAAGAGAAAAATCGATTTGTTTTTAAGGTTGCTGCCGCCCCTGTATTTATCTCATTCAACCCATGTCCTGTTATTATTATTATTACTGTTGTTATTATTATGTTTTATATTTTAAACTGAAACAGAAGTGATGTGACAAGAAGTTACCTTTAGTTTAGTTACCTCCTAATGCTGTTTATGCAGTCTCCCCGTTACGCGCACTAGATTAGAGAACTTTGTAACTAAAATTGCTACATTCGCTTGGCATAGGAAAGATACATCCAAAACTCTTTTAACTCTGGAAAAATCCAAGAGGACACTTGTAGCCCTCGCCCTCTCTGTCATCTTTTTTGTTTGTTATTTATTATTTTGAATTTTTACAGTGACTTTGTAGCAGTTTTTAATTTTCATAGATGTTGTATTGTAGGCTTTGTGTTACTAAGTATTTGTCAATCAATTAAAGAGCACTTTTATACAATAAATATAAAATCGTTTACTTCCCCACACCCCAAATTAAATATATTTAATAAATATCTTCTTTCAAAAGAGGAATATAGCCATCAACACAGAAAGGGTATTGTGAGAGAAGAGGGAAACCGTTTTTCTCTCACTCAGCATCCCCTATTTCCGACTTTTTTGTTACATATCTGTCGATCCTAAAGGTTTGGTGGCTATGTAGTACGGTCACGTTCTGTCCGTAATTTCTCCCGTTTCAGTCTAACTTTGCATTTTCCGCCTCTGAAAGTCCGCTGCAAAAGGTGATTGCACGAATTTAAATCGGCTCCTTTGAGTTCTCACTGTTCGTTTGTGATTAAATTCTTTACATTTCCTTGTACATACTATACAAATTAATTGCACTAAAAACAGATCTCTTGTTGCTTTCAACTTTCACACAATAACTGACAGGTACAACTGGTCTCTTCAAGAACAACTTCGTGTCCGTCTTTCTCCCCGGCTCTGTAATTTAAGCCTCGTAATGCTGAAACTGACGCGTATTTCAAGGGTTTTCATGTTTGAGAAAGCGTTCTTGATTTTTATGGTGATCTGAGGGCGAATTTTTGCGATCGTATTTTTCCTATGAAAATATGATATTAATTTGAAAGAGTGTTAAAAATTCAAATTCTTGTTTTATGGGAGGAGTATCGATGAAAAGGAAATTTCAGCATTTAGTAACACGTTTGACTTCGTTCATTTTGTTACCTTACCGTCCAATTTTGCTTATAATTCTTATCAAGTGAATACACATGTGTTTTCCTTTTGACAGACCACAATTAAACATCAGGTGAATACCTGTTGGGGACAAAAATTATAACAACATCTGATTAAGCTATATTACGAAGGTTCTGAATTTTTTTTATTTTTCTTTATGTCATTTTGTGTAACCAAAACAAGCTAAGGATTGTTTTCACAATAGACCGTATTCACGATACGCGCTATCTTTGCGCGCGGTGTAGAATTGATGGGATAAAAGCCATGAGCCATCATCTGTTCAGATTCCGTTGACTTTATGCGAATAACAGAACACATAGCAGCTGCGTTTCATATCGTTGCGAAACTAGAAAAAAAAAAAGAAAGAAAAAAGAAAAAAGGTTAAAAACGTAAACCTTGCAGTAACTCAAAGCTTCAGCTGTCGGTAAGCAAATTTCAAGCTGCTGCATCTTAAATTTTAAAGCGCGAATTCACCTGTCAAAATTTTGACTAGTATGAGAATAGAATGCTTCCGGAGCGTGACCAAACTAAAAGCAAAGCTTTAAAAATCTGTTGTTAACATTTTTTTCATAAGTCAAACACAAGAAACTTCTATAAGCCAAGACAAACACAAGATGCATGTCTGGGTCCCTTTAATATAACCCTCCCAAGAGTCTTAAAGTTTACGGATGTAAGGAGTACAGGCAGTCTTACGTGACGTCATCGATGGTTTTCCAATAGGCCATTTTCATAATGGCGCCATTTTACCACCATTACCATCTGGTTATTTCTTTCATAGTTTCATTTTATAATCTCAGAGAGTTTTGAACTTACTTTGCACAAGGAAGTAAAACGCTGAAGGATACTGGTAGTAATATTCAAAAGACATCATTAGGGACTTTACAAGCAAAAAGTTTAGAAGTTTATCGCCTTTATTTTTTTCTTTATCGCGATTATTGCAACTCGCTTACTTTGTCAAAAGTTGGCAA